AAAAAATAATGTAGATCGACAGGTTTATGAAAATCTTGAAAATTGGCGGTTCAAAAATACTTTACAAAATATACTATTTCAAAAACTTGAAATCCATTTTTTTCTCATGTCCATGAATCTTGATGTCGAGATGATCAATTTGAAGATATTTAGACATCAAAACAACCTCTTCTAATGAAATTTTTGTGATAGGCTCCAATTTGATTGTTTAGAGCCTCAACTCTATATAAACTTTTCCCATTTATAGATGGTTAATAAGTAAAGCCTCACACGACAACTCATTATAAATTGCAATTTGAGCTTTTGGAACCGATAATTATGATTGTGAAAAGAAATTAAGATTTCAAGCTGTAAAAATAATGTATATTGCAAGATATTATCTAGACCGTCATTTTTCTCTAAATATAAGTGCTCATATATCTATACCATTTTTTGATATTCAAATTTTATTATCGATGTTAGAAATTGATTTTGAAAGCATCAAGGAGATTTTTGAAGCCAAAAGTGCTTTCCAGAGGAGGATTTGAGATGAGACTTTATTTTGTTTTAAAAAAAAATTTGGCTTTATAGAAACTGCATCCTTTACAAAATCTCATCCATACTTACATGCACCAGCTCTTTCTCATCACGTGTGGAGTACTACATTACACATAATTACTAAGCCTTGGGGTGGATGGGAACAATTGGACAATTTGTTGTTCTAGATGAAATTCGTTCCAACTTTTTTTGGAGGAAAAATAAAACTTATTATTAAAATCATTTCCCTCAACTTTTTAAAAATTTGGTAGACATACTATGTGTTTTGTTCATTTGCATTTAGTGTGATCTCTCTCTCCTACCAATCTCTTCACTAAATCTCTCTCTCCACCCACAACCTATTTCACTAAATTTATTCAAGCTTATTTCAAAAACCAAAACTCTTGAGTTAATACAGAAATGAAATAAAAACGAGATCCATTTATTGCCATGAGCTGCATTTTAAACCTCATTTTGACTATGAATTTAATAGACAAGAAACACTCAAACATGAGACACGCTTGCATTATTTACATCTTTCTGACACAATAATGAAAAATTATTAGTAATTGTCATTATTTTTAAAACACTATTTTTAAAAAAAATCTATTTAAAAATAGATTTTAGAGAAATTATTGTGATTTTTTGATTTTTTTTTAGGCCGAGACTGGCCGATCCGACTAATTCTCCAATGTGAATCGCCAATCCACCGATTTGACATAGTTTTTATGGTGGCTGATTAGGGCCACCGATCTGCTTTTTTAAACTTTGGTTCTACATATATAAATATGGGTGAGGATTGCATAAGGTTGCAACTTTAAACAATCAAAATAAGGCGCACCTCCAAATTTTTCATAAAATGCAATTTTGATGTTGAAAATCATTATGATGTTCGAGAATCTACTTTTATCTTTAACTATAAAATTTTAAATTCCAAAAATAGTTCAAATCAAGCATATCTATAAATGCATGAAATTTTGAAAATAGATAGTCTAGATAATGGGTTGCAAGAGTATTATATTTGGGACTTGAATTATTATTATTTTTATACATCTCGATATCAAAATGACTAATTAGATAGTTTTCCATTGTAATCTTTTCCAATAGATTTAAGATGCACCTTAATTATACAATTTAAGGTGTCAATTTTATATAAACCTTTTTCTATAAAAACATTTAGAAACAATTCCAAGTTTCTTAGACAAAAATCATCTACCCATCTAATCCAAACTCCACTCGAACGATTCTAAATCGACTAAGCTAATTCTTCAACGCCTTTATTGTCACGTACATCACTAGACAAAATCTGTTCACCACGTGTATTCTGCCTCTAAGAACGTAAATGAGATGTGGAGATGAACTGGAAACAACCAAGTCCTTAATTTAAGCTTAATATTATTCAATAAAAAAAAGGATCCAAACAGTTGAAAGCAATGCCATGTGAATCTTTTGGTATTTCTTTCTCCTCTCTCTCTCTGGTCATCCATTCAACACCCATATAACAACTAAGCTGCAATCAAATAGAGAGAGAGACAGAAGAGTTGTTAACATGTATGGGTGCAGGAAAGTAGCATCTGAGGAATTCGATCTTCCTCTTATCGATCTCCAAAAGCTCTCAAGCTCTAACGAGGCGGAGAGACAAGCATGTATCAATGCCATAACAACCGCTTCTTCAGAGTGGGGGTTTTTCCAGGTATTTTTCCTCGAGCATTTTTGTGTGTGTTTGAGAGAGAGAGAGAGTTTTTGTTCTAAATTAATGCCGGAGAGAAAAAGTGTTGAGAGCATCGTTTAAACATAGATTGGTGATCCAGATCAGCCACCTCAAAAACAGTATTTGATCGGTAGATCGGCAATTCGGATCAAAGAATTCGCTAGTCTTAGCCAAATGTTTTTCAAAAAAATCAATATAATTTTTCAAAACTCTAGATTTTTAGATCTATGTAAAAAATAGTGAAAATTGCATTTTGCTGTTTATTATTGTGTCAAAAGTGTGTAAATATTAATAACCCCTCCTTGGTCTAGTCTTGGTATTGGATCAACTCATCTTTTAGCATTAACATAAATGAGATCCGATAATGGCTTGGGGCCTTGGCGGAGTATTGTCAAGCCCCGTGGTAAAGTCTCTAACTCCATTCTCACCAAAGGATAACGCCCAAATGCCCACTGACTTACCACTTTTGGAAAGAGGAGGGGGTCATGGTAGTAGCATCCCCTCACCCAGTGACCACATCGTCGTATCCATTCCTATCACTGACACCCCCAATTAACACTTTCAAAATGTAACTCCCTAATCTAATTAAAAAAACCGAGCAAGGGCTTGTCTTTCCCACTAAATTACCCAAAGGAAAACATGAATGATATTCTATTCGTTTACTTTTCAAAAACATAAGCCCCCACTCGAACCATTATTACGACCACCAAGCCTTCTCGAGTCACTTTGACGATAGAAGCTTTTAAAGTAGACCTAGGGACAAATCTTTCCCTCAATGATAAGCGAAGACTTGTGACAATATCATCCTGAAGACTGATGAGATGGGAAAATTAATCTTACATTGAGTATTTGTTGTCTATTAAATTTATTTTACACTCAAAATGAAATTTAAAATGTAACTCATGACAATAAAATGAATATCTCTAAATCAATTTATTTCTTTTGTTTTTTTTGCATTGATTTAAGAGTTTTAACTTCACTATATAAATGAATTATAGGAGAGAGACACCAAGGGGAGAGAGAGATGGATGTGAAGTCAAGAGAGAGAGGTGGATGACAAGAGAGAGATATGCAAGATATGGATACCAAGAGAGCGAGAAGAAGTATTACATATGGTAGAGTGAAAAAGCCCAAAAAAAAGGTTCTACATCAAGTATTTAAATAAGTAAATTCTTTTATAAAATGTTTAGCCACCCACAGTAGTGTACATGCATTAGTCACATGTGTAGTCTTCTCATAGTGACCTATGTATATGTAAGTATGTGTAATGATTGGCTAGTGAGTTGTGGTGATGTTGAAGAAACAATCAATCATGGGATGGGCCCACTTTCCAAAAACTTAAAACAATTTCTAAACTATAAAAAAAATGAAAAATGGCAAGCAATATAGAGTGGTTGTTTTAAGCCGGTTCAATACTAACTGACATAATCGATACAGACCGATCTGGACCGGTCGTTTCAAAGGGGGACACAGTCGGATCCAGATGTATTATGAGATCTGAAATATTCAGGACAATCTCCGATTCATATCACCGAAATTTCGAGCAATGGTCGAGAGAGTGTGTGGTTTTTTCCATATTTATCACAAGATTAGATGGGGCTGGCCTGTCGATGAAATTGTAAGTGTGGCCGATCTAATCCAAAGCATTTGGCTAAAAAACGTTTCAAAATCAATAGTTGGTAGCATGTCATTAATTTTAATTTTATTTTAATATCAAGTTCAACTTATTTGACCCATGATCAAAAGGAAACCCCGTATAGATTCAATGTCGTAAGAATTTTCTTTTTCCAAGTAGCTAGCATCTAGTGAGAGAGAATTGATTTATTTTAGGTGGTGAAGCATGGCATAAGTGGAGAATTAGTAGGGAGGATGAGGAGAGAGCAGGGGAAGTTTTTCGAGATGGCTTGTGAGAGGAAGTCAAATTGCAAGACCGTCAATGATTGTTACACGTGGCATGGTTCCCCAAATGGATCTGGCTCTGAGAACAAGTCATGGTCCCAATCCCTTCATCTTCCTCTCTCTACAATTTCCTGTGGAGGGGACCATGCAATTGATCAACACTTCACTTCTCTTAGGTACTTTCTCTCTCCTTTTCTACCTGCACAAAAATAAGTGATTTATGTACGCAACTTAGATAAAATACGAAATAATAGGCAGAAATTATAAAGAAGGTCGGTTTAACTTTTTTTTTTTTCTTTTTTTTTTTTTTCAAAATTGCCCATCATTGAACCTAAGTTTTAATTTTAAAAAAATAGTATTTTGGTTAGTAGGACAGTGCCTTCAAGTTTGGGCCCTTCCCTACTAACGGAAAAACTAAAAACAATCAAAATTCAGGTTGACCGAAGAGCACTTTCCAAAAAAAAAAAAAATGGATTGGCCGACCTTTGTAATTTCTTCCTATAAACGGAATATTTTGTATATTACCTAAAATTTTAGAGCCCATAGTTAAATTACCCAAGATGTTAAAAGATCATATGCTATGCGAGGTATACGATTTTGTGGATGGAACTAAGACCAATTTTAGAGAATGAAAAGTATGCAATACAATCATTTATCTGCAGTAGAAAGATGTTAAAATCGTCCTTTGATTATTGGAAGTGAAATTGGGCAGCTAGAGGTGTACCGATGACAAGACTCAAAGTCCTAATGAATTTTTTTAAAATTTTAAGACAAGGTCTTTGAAAATAAAAATTTGTATGGTTTGGGTGCATTTGTGGATCATACATCATCCTTTCTCAACCATATTGGAGATAGATTCCCAGTAAACTCAACAGATCCACAATCTCGACATCCCTGATTACAAGTCTTAAAAATGTGAATATTAAACCTCAAAAGCAGTCCTTTTGTACTTTGACCATTTGATTCTTCAAAACCATCAATCTGCATTACTTTTAGAGCTCCAAGTTCATGGATTTGAGAAAATTGGATTTGCAGAGATTCAAGACGTGTGGAGTCCTAAAACCCTTGAAAAACAGTGTTCGATTGCTGGCATGATCTGTAAGAGGAGAGCAACATGGAGAAAGAGATTAACTTAGGGAGAGAAAAATGAAGAAAGTTTAAGTAAATTGAGGTTGCAACTTTGAGACAAAGGCACAGTCGTAGGACTTCTAAACAATAGAAATTAGAAACAACGATAAATTAAAGTGATTTGTATTCATTAATTTAGATTAGATTTCTAATATTTATACTATAGCATATGAAAATATTTGACCCATCACTATAGGTTGGTAACGGAAGAATTTGGGGCAGTCATGGGGAAACTGGCTCTCTCATTGGCCAGAATTCTCGCCGAGAAATTGGGCCAATCGCTGGAATTCTTCTCGGAAAATAGCAATGAGAGGACATCTTTTGTGAGGCTGAATCATTACCCTCTATGTCCTCTTTGGCCTGAAGTTTTGGGTTTGGTTCCTCACACTGATGGTGATTTCCTCACCATATTATGCCAAGATCAAGTTGGTGGATTACAACTCATGAAAGACTGCAAATGGATCTCTATTATGCCCAATCCGGAAGCTTTTATCGTCAATATAGGCGATCTCTTTCAGGTAAGTTCATTACTATCTTTTGCTTTTAGAGTTAGTACGCCGGTAGCATATACTCCCTCAGTCAAAACTCAAAAGACCTACTGCAAAGATTTTCTCAGTTTGAAATTAGAAGTACCTAAGATTATTTTTTTAAAAAAAGGAATTATGAGTTTGTTGACACTTAGATCTTAGTCTTCTCGGTCGTTGTTCAATCGTAAGGCTTTTTTCTTTTTCTTTTTCTAGTACATAGAGAGTTCAATATAGAAACCTCTTTTTTTTTCTTTTTTTTTTTTTAGAGGTTACTTTATAGGTTGAAGAGGTTACATCCTCAAATTTTGAGTCTTATAATTACTCCTGCAAGAGTATAAATTTTTTTTGGCATAACTATTGATACATTAAGCATAACTAATGTTTACAATAGTTTATATAAAAATAGTTTATATAAGGTGTCAATCTTGTAATGTCTAAGAACAAATTAAAAAATATATGAAAAATATTATTCCAACCCTAAAAAAAAAACTCTTTGATTGGTCATGTGGACCTTGTGATGTATGGATAAGAAAAAGAGTTTAAATCATTCATTATCTACACCGTATATTTTTTAGATTTTCCAGTATTAATAGATTTACTCATTGAGCATCATTTTTTAAAGCTTTAAATTTCATAATTAAGGTAAGAAATAGATTTTCAGGTCATACCACATCTTGTAGCAAAGTTTAGAGGTGTGCCTTACTTAATTGCTTAAAGTGGACCCCTTGTAAAGTACACACCCTTTGTCAAAATAACGTATATAAGAGATAAACTTTCAAATTTTTATCCAATTTTTTTATTAATTTCAAAAGCCCAATAAAATCGAGATGATCATGAGTTGGAATGATTAAATATAGTAATTATATGAAATAGTTGATGAATTAAATATATTTTATAATTTTTCCATTTAAAATTATTATCTTTCTTTTTTTTTTTTTTTTTGAGTTGTTAAGCCGTATGAATCAAAATTGAGATATAATGTTGTTAAATGTCAGCTGCTAGATGTAAGTTTTAACCAATGAATGTAAATTCCACAGGCATGGAGCAATGGTGTGTACAAAAGTGTGGAGCATAGAGTGATGTCTAATCCAACGGCAGAGAGGCATTCTACGGCCTTTTTCTTTTGCCCTTCCTATGATACTCCCATTGTAACTCCCATGCAACCTCCTCTCTACAAGGAATTCACATTAAGACAATACATGAAACAAGTGGAGGAAGACCTTAAACAAACGGGCCGTAAAACTGGTCTCTCAAGATTTCACGTGGAGAATGTAGCCCCCAATTCATGTAACAACGATTGCTTCTCATGATTATTAGGAAAATAAAATAAAGCACCTAGCATGCACATGTGGAAGTATAGTATATGGTTTGGACAAAAGAGCTAATTGGGTTTTTTTTTTTTTCTTTTTTCTTTAGGGAAAAAAATTTGGTATTTTTGCCTTTGAGCTACAACTATTTGAAGTAATTTTCGGACCCTCTATCTCGAATGTTCCCTTGCACATGATGAGAATGGAATCTGAATGCTGCGTTTGACTCGGGGAAGTTGTGATTTTGGAAGCTACATCTTCTCAAGTGAAAGCGGCGGAATGTAGTTTTTTAACATAGAAGGAAGCCGCAGCTTTCAGAAGTTGTGCAATACTTTCCCTATTATTAGACAGAGAAGTGCTACAATATCTAGAAGTGTCAACTCTAGAAGCTACCGCTTCCATCAATCAAACGGGTCATGAATGTTGGCAGTCACCACCTTAACCAAATCTACCTAAATCCTACTCTCATCTCCCTCCCCCTCTCTCTCTCTATGTTGACGCAATAATCTCTCTCTGGCACACAAACGCAACTGCCCTCTATTTGGTCCTTCCCAGTGTTATTAGAACTGAGCTTTCCATTAAAAGTATGAAAACACATGTAAAATACAAGCATGGCATAACCGAGCCATAAAGAATGATCAAATAGTATTGTACACAAGCATTATCTGGTTAGATGGTTGTATTATAGGATTTATGTAACCAACCCCAAATAATTAAATAAAGTTTGGATGATAACTTAGATAAAGTTTGAATGATGACGATGACGAAACTCAACCTTAATGTAAAATGCATACATAAATACAATCCTTAATATGTACCTATACCATGTGTATACAAAGTGTCATACACCTACCATAAAGTTTCCCATCCACTATGAGACGTAACAACCACACGTTATAATTGTATGCGGCATGTGTGGGCTAGTGGACAAGCATTAAAGAGAGTTTTAAAATGCTAAATTTGTGAAAGTTATGCAATGGGTTGGCCCTCCACATTTTTTTATTTTTTAGACAATTCAAAGAAAAAAATAAAAGGTTTTGAAAAATGAAATGGAAACTTGTAACGGTTTAACCAGTTGACTTATTCAGTTTAAATAAAAAATTAAAAATATATTAAAATAATAATTAAACTACTACTCAAATAGAACTGGTTAGTTTTGTTTGAGAACTGGTACGAATCGATATGGACCAACCGATTCAAATAGGGACAAGGTCAGATATTGATATATTACGGGACCTAAAACAGTAAGGACAATTCCCGATCTGCATTGTGGAATTTTTAAACACTGATTCTACATATATAAAAAAGGAATTACAAAGAGACTATTTATCTTTTGTATGTGGAGCTCACAATTATTACTGCCCTTTAAATTTCAAAATGGGTAGATGTAAGAGTGTCATAGAATAGACATAAAGTTCCAAAAAAAGATTATCAAACTTTGTGACTTACCTTAAGCCATCCAATTTAACATTTAACAATTACAATTGAAAATCTTTATGATGGCCCGAAAATCTATTTTCATATTTAATTGTAAAATTTGAAACTCCAAAAATAGTACAAATCGAGCAGATTTATAAAAGCAATGAAATTTTAAAAATGGATGGTCTTGATAATGTATTACAAGATGAACTATTTTTGGGTCTTCAAAAAAAAAATCATACATATTGATATCAAGATGATTAATTAGATGGTTTTCCATTGTCAAAATGGCCTTTTCCCATGGATTTGAGATGCACCTTAATATACAATTTAAGATGTGAATTTTATATAAACATTTTTCTATAAAGACAATAAAAAACTAAAGAGTCATACAATTCCAAGTTCCTTAAACCAAAATCCTCTACCTAAACCCGTGATTCTAAATCGGTTCAGCAAATTCGTTTGGGCGATTCTAAATTGGATCAACTAATTCTTCAATGTCTTCATTGTCATGTATATTATTAGATAAGCTTGTTCAACGCCCTCATTGTCATGTATATTATTAGATAAGCTTGTTCACACCACGTGTACTCTCACGATTCTAAATTAGCTCATCTAATTCTTCAATGTCCCCATTGTCATGTGCATTACTAGACAAGCTTGTTCACCGAATATTAGTCATAAAATATTACTAGACAAGCTTGTTCACCAAATAAAGGTGTCATAAAATATTAGTCACTATACCGATCTAAGTCATTTCTAATTTTTAAATCGTTGAATGAGGTGTGGAGATAACCAAGTCCTTCAACTAAGATTAACATTATTCAATAAAGAAAGAAAGAATCCAAACAGTTGAAAACAATGCCATGTGAATATTTTGTTTGTTTCTTTCTCCTCTATCTGATCATCTATGCAACACTCGTATAACAACTAAGCTGCAGGATTGTGACCAGGAAACTCATCACACACACACACCCCTCTCTCTCTCTCTCTCTCTCTCTCTCTCTCTCTCTCTCTCTCTTGTTTTGACCAACTTACTGAGCTTCAATCAAATTGAGAGAGGGACAGAAGAGAGTTAAACATTTGTTAATATGTATGGGTGCAGTAAAGTAGTCTCTGGGGAATTCGATCTTCCTCTTATTGATCTCCGAAATCTCTTGAGCTCTAACAAGGAGGACAGAGAAGCATGTATCAATGGCATAACAACAGCTTCTTCAAAGTGGGGGTTTTTCGGGGTATTTTCCTCAAGCGTTTCTCTGTGTGTGTAGGCGTGTGTGAGAGAAAGATTTTGTTCTAAACTAATGCTAGAGAGAGAGAGGGTTGAAAGAGTGTGTGTGGTTTTTTCCATATTTATCAAAAGATTAGACGGGGCCTGAACTACCGATGAAACTGCCAACCGCTAGCTAAAAAGATCTCAAAATCGATAGTTGATTAGTTTTGGCTAGCGGATCCTCAATTTTAGTTACCTTTGTAATTTATTCTATATTTCAAGTATGTAAAATCATATCCAATTCATTGATTAAAACCAAACCCCCCACATAAATTCAATATCCTATGACTGTTTTTTTTGTTTACAAGTAGATGTTAGTGAAAGAATTGATCTATTTTACTGGTTTTAGGTGGTGAACCATGGTATAAGTGAGGAGTTAGTGAGGAGAATGAGGAAAGAGCAGGGGACGGTTTTCGAGATGCCTTTTGAGAGGAAGTCTAACTGCAAGGCCTTGAATGATTCTTACAAGGGGCATGGTGCGCCAAATGGATCTTGCATTGAGAACATGTCATGGTCCGAATCCTTCCATGTTCCTCTCTCTACAATTTCCTGGGAGGAGGACCATGCAACTGACCAAGAGTTCACTTCTCTTAGGTACTCTCTCTCTTTTTCCACCTGCACAAAAATAAATATCATATGCTGCTGCGGGTGTGGGTATATGCTCCTTTGGATGAAAACCCTATTTATGGGTGGAATTAGGGCCAACTTTTGAAAATAAAAAGGAAAGGTTTCTATATTTCCTTTTTACTGTATAGAATATATATACCTCCTCCATCCAGCCGTCCAATTTAGTTCAAGTGTGTCACTGACCGATTGATTTAGATCTGATGTCTCAAAATATTTTTTTTTTATGTTTTACATAGTATATGAAATTTGGTAAGTACCATCATCTCAAAGGGACACACCTAAAAACAAGCATTAAGAAAGTATTTCTAATAATATATAATAATCAAAATACCCCTAAAACTTTCAGGAGTATTTTGATCATTTTATTTTATTGGGAATATTTTTAAATTTTTTTTTTATAGGTGCATGTTTAAGATAGAGGAGTAGACACCCAAAATTTGGTGTCAAAATAATTTGCAGAAAAAACAATAAAAATAAAATAATATAAAGGCGTGACATTGTGATTTCGGTCATCTATTCATAATAGACAATTGGATAGGGGGAAGTATATAAGTATTATAGAGTAGGAGAAGCACTGAAACTTTTCCTTAACATGCGTTTATCTTCATTATAAGGTGGTTAAATTTGACTGGTGAATGTGGAATTGGGTGGCTCTAGGTGTGTGACAAGGGTGAAGAAATTTGTTTAAATTTTAGGATAAACTTTGAACGGTCTATTTTCTTAACCATATTTGTATTATTGAAATTTATCTCCGATGGGTGATTGTAACCTTCTTGTATCAAAATAAATAATCTCATAATATAAAATCTCTTAAAAATAAAATAAAATAACAGTACGAATGTGGCTAAGAATAAGGACTGTTCAAGTTGTGAATGGTCATATCTTAATGCACATGAACTCAAAAATTTGTTTTTCTTTTATATTTTTTCTTGCGAAAATTCTCATCTCTTGACTCTAAAGTGGATACTAATCCAGAAAATACTTATGAGTAGGTCCTTTACGCGATGGAGTAAGTTTACAATATACTCCTGTTGGAGCACGCAGCACATGCGTCTTCAATACTCTCTTAACAAATAAAATGTACCTCACCCCAGAATCTAATCCCTCATCGCTTTACATACTCTTATACTATTTATCAATCTCGTATATATAAACTGCCAATCCAATTTTAAAAGCCAATATCATTAAGCCTCCTGAATTCAGATAAGTTTGTTTTAGGTATCTGCATATTTAAGTAACATTTTAGTAAAGGGTATTTTTCAGCATTAGAGCCATTCCATTTCCTAGTTTTAATTCAGATATTGACCCCTTTTTCATTAATTAGAAGTTTCTCATGTTTTCTGACATCACTTTGTCTTTTTCTTGATTGTTCTGTATGCTGATTTTCGAGCTCCATCTATTTTGAGATTTAGGTTCATAGTCTTTGGAAATAAAAATTGGTGAGTTTAGGGTGCATTTGTGGACTCATACATCCATCCTATCAATTTCATCTTGGAGTTAGATTCCCAGTAAACTCAACAGATCCACGACCTCAACATCCCTTATCATCAGTCTTAAAAAGGTGATTATTGAGCCTCAAAAATTGTACTTTTCCTTTGACCATTTGATTCTTCAAAAACATCAAGCTACATTATTTTTAGGGCGCGATTGGTTGGTGCGTAAATATTTTCTCCAAGAAAAATATTTACATATATAAATACTTTAAACAAATTATTTTTTGCAAACTTTTATTTTCTCTATGTTTGTTAACACGTTTAAAAAACTTTGTGAAATGACTTTCATGTGTTTGGTAACTTGTTTGGTATTTAAATACAGTTTATAAATATGTTAAATGCATACATGCATTATTTATTTAAAGGGTGCGGTTTGTATACAATCAAATTAGAGCCCGCCTTCAAATAGTGTCAAGAAATATGGTTTTAATATTGGAAATATTTGGGATAGCTTTAAAATATATCTTCAGCTTTCATTATAAAATTTAAAGTTTCAAAAATACTGTATCAAGCTAATCAATGAAACTTTGAAAATCTTGAAAATTGACTGTTCAAAAATGCATTACAAGATACACTATTTCCAAAATCTTGAAATCCATTTTTTTTTTCTCATGTCCATGCATCTTGATGTTTAAATGATCAATTTGAGGACGTTTAGGCATCAAAACAACCTCCTCTAGTGAAATTTATGAGGTAGGCTCTAATTTAATTGTTCTGAGCCTAGGCTCTATATAAAATTTTTCCTTATTTAATTATGGAAAAAATTTATTTAAGGTTGCAACCTTAAAACGTAGAATTAAAGATGTACCTAAAAATTCCATCATAAACATTTTTTGGATGCTGGAAAACCCTCTAATTGATCGTCTCGACATCAAAATGTATAAATATGAAAAGAAAAACAGATTTCGAGTCCGAGAAATAGAGTATCTTGCAACACATTATCTAAACCATCCATTTTCAAGATTTTCATGTGTTTATAGATCTATTTGATTTGAACCACTTTTAGAATTTAAAATTTTATAATTAGATATGAGAATAGATTCTCAAAACATCCTAAAAATTTTTCGTATCAAAATTACATTTGTGATAGAATTTAGAGATGTGCCTTAATTGGATTATTTATGGTTGCAACCTTATGGAAACCACGCCCTTTAAACATTATAATTAAAAATATAAAGTTATATTGTAATATAATATAAATATTGTATATCATATTATATAATATAGGGAAAATTTCGTATAGAGCTCTAATTCTTCATATTATTTCATGGTAGGCCTTCCTTCCGTTTTTCTTTCAAACAGCATAAGGAAACTCTAAAGATTTCACGTTACCCCTCATTTTTTATCTCCCTCCTTTATTGATTTTTTTATCATAAAAATTAGTCCTAACAAATATTTTTATACCATTTCAACCCAAAAACTTTTTTAATAAGTGGAAAGGGGAAAATAGAATTAAAATTTTTTTTGGGTTTAAACGGTATAAAAATATTTGTTGGCGCTAATTTTTATGATAAAAAAATCAATAAAAGAGGGAGATAAAAGATGAGGGGGGTACAGTGAACTCTTTAGGGGTTTCTTTATGCCACTTAAAAGAAAAACGGAATGAATGTCTACCATGAAATAATATGAAGAATTAAAGTTCTATATAAATTTTTTCCTATAATATATAATATAATTATATATTAATAACATAAATAGATAATGGAATATAAATACAATATTATAGCATTACATTTTACTAATATATTTTCTAATATTATATGATATAATATAATATATTATTTATACAAAATATTTTTTATATATTATGTATTAAATATTATTGAAATATAATTTATATATTAAATGTGTTATTTAATATATAAATAAAATGTTATATACTATATTGCAAATAGTGAATCGTTAATAGTGGGTTCCCGTGTGAAATTAAAACTCGGGAAATGCTTCTCCATGGTTTGAGCTTTCATGCAAAATGGATCATTTTATGGTAAATTGTTTTGCTGTAGGTTTTGTTTTCATATGCTTTTTCCCTTACCTGTAAGGCAATTTTACCATGAATCCAGAAAATATTTTCATACCAATCAAACAATAAACGTATCCAAATTCATGGATTTGAGACAAATGGATTTGCATTTGGGACGTACCACGTCCTAAAACCCTCGTTTGATTGCTAGCATGATCTGGTTGCTAGTATTATTAATTTGCCATCTGCGCTCTGTACGAGCAGAGCAACATGGAGAGAGAGAGAGAGAGAGAGAGAGAGAGAGAGAGAGTATTACGTTAAGGAAA